ATTTCTACGTTTATTTATTTCCACGTGTCCGTATGCTAATGAGGTAGAAATAAATAAATGTATAAATAAATAAATATTGAAAATAATAAATGTATATAAATAAAATATGGAAATAATACATGTAGAAATAAATAAATGTGGAAATAAATACATGTATAGAAATAATAATGTGGAAATAGTAGAAATAAATTTAAGACATTTAATTATTTATGTCCATTTATTTACCAGTTTTTATTTATTTATATTCACGCATTTAATTATTTATTTATTTATTCAGTATTTATTTATACATTCATTTATTTATTTATTTATTTTATTTATACTTCTGTCAGATCTCGTCCTCCATAAATTCGAAGTTTTTTCTGGATCTTCCATCGATTATTTTGGTCTGTCGAATCACGTGACAGTGTTTTTCTCCTCCTCACTTCCGGAAATAAGTCGTCAGAGCGGAGTGGGGCTGCTGGAGCGGAAAGTGAAAACAAAGCAGACATCTCGACACCGGACACCGGAGTGTCATGCTTAAAACCGTCAACAAGAACCGTTTAACGAAACCGGAAACAGACCTTCTTTTAACAGGTGAGCTCACGTGTCAAATGTTGTTTTTCTTCTGTAAGCAGATTAGAAGTTGTTTTGTTTTTTGGGGTTTAATAATGCTGCTAACTGTTGTTAGCTCAGCTCTGCTCAGATTGGTCTAGTACCGACTCACTTTGTTGTGTCAGCTGTGACGGTGTGCTGAATAATGTGTTTTGTAAACAATGACCATCAACATTCAGCCTGCTGGACGTGCAGCTTTCATTTAACTGTGTTTTTGATGTTTAAAGGATAACACAGAGGAGAGAGAGGAGGAGGAGGGGGAGGAGGAGGGAGGGGGGGAGAGGAGGAGGAGAGGGAGGAGGAGGGAGGGAGGAGGAGGAGAGGAGGAGGAGGAGGGGGGGATGAGTCTCTGTTGGTTTAACAACGTTGTTACAACACTTTAAAGTCTTCTGTGACCTACATCTTCAACACAGTCAGAAGCTCTTAAATGTGTTTACATAAAACAGTCCTGTGTGTATCAGCTGACCTGTGCGTGTGTGTGTGTGCGTGTGTGTGTGTGTGCGTGTGTGTGTGTGCGTGTGTGTGTGTGGTGTGTGTGTGCGTGTGTGTGTGTGTGGTATCAACCAGAGTTCAAAGATTCCTCAGCTGCAGATGCCAGATTGTGCACATCTGAAAACTTTGTCTCTGTGAGTTGGGAAACATCCAGAACAGGGGGTGGGCAACTGGCGGCCCCCCATCAACCCTCAACGTGGACCCTCAGGTCATCAATTAATCGGGAACATGAAGAAAAACAAAACGACAAAATCTGCCATGAAATCATGAAAACCAGATAATATTTGATCGCTGGTGTATGTTGAGTTGAATTGGAGACTAAATCGACTGTAATCGTTTTTGTATTCTACAGTTTGGCCCCTCTGGCAGTGAGAAGTAAATGAATGTGGCCCCTCTGGCAGTGAGAAGTAAATGAATGTGGCCCCTCTGGCAGTGAGAAGTAAATGAATGTGGCCCCTCTGGCAGTGAGAAGTAAATGAATGTGGCCCCTTTGCTGTGACCAAAAGTTGCCCCGTCGCTGATCCAGAACATGAAACACCTGAACGATTGAAAATCAATGTTTCTATTTATTAAAACTCCAACAAGCAGCTTTTGTTTTAGAGGTGAAATCCAAGTGAGTTAAAGATGCTTCCACATTAGTCAAGGCTCAACGCATTGAGAAATGTATTTATGTATATTTGATGAACCCTTATGAACGAGCTAATCAGGAAACATTTCAGTGTGATATAATGTTTGTACACTCACAGCATTATCACAATTTACTTTCTAGGATTACAAGGCATCAGTTGCACCCTTTCTCTATCACACACCGGGGACTGTTTGAAACTCTTTTTAACCGACACTTTTTTCCCCACACACTTCCTTTTTTCCGTTTCCCATCTGCACGGCAGAGAGTCGGCCTCTAGCTGGACACTTTAATGATTCAATTACTTAAATAGCACATTTAATTTAATGTTTGCACTGCCTGGTATTTAATATCTGTTTTTTGATAATCTTCTTTTTAAACATTGCTACATATATAACAACACAACTTCAGAAGCTCAACACTTTTTTATTTTTTATATTCAGGACTTTTTTCCTCAACTGTTTATAGTTTCTTGTTTTAATTTCACATATATTTTTCTCCTTGCATGTTTTATGTACATTTCTTGATTTTTTGTATAAGTCTATTTTTAATTGCACAGTTTAAGTTTGATTCATCTAGAGGGATTCTTTAAATCTTTTTTTCAGGTTAATATATATGTATGGGGGGGGGGGGGATCAAATTCTCCACCATTAGAAACAAATTTTAAGATGGACTTTGTTCTTTAAGGTCCAAACGAGAGGGGAGTCCCTTCTGTCTATCTGCTCACATGTGATGTTAAGAGTCAGGGATGTTTATTCATGGCACATATTGTTATCGTTATGAAATCAGGGCAGGGATGAGCAACTTTAGTCACCGCAAGGGGCCACATTCGTTTAATTCTCACCGCCAGGGGGCCAAATTGTAGGATACAAAAACGATTACAGTCGATTATGTCTCAAATTTAACTCAACATATACCAGTGATCAAATATTATTATGGACATATTTCTGGTTTTCATGATTTCATGGCATTTTTCATGTTTTCCAGTTAATTGATATGTAACAATTGACCTGAGGGCCACTTTCAAGGTTGATGGGGGCCCGCATGTGGCCCCCGGGCCGCCAGTTGCCCACCCCTGGTTTAAGGCTTTACTTCGAGGAGCTTTCTACATACCAGCCTGGATCTGTTTGAGCCACCACATTACCCAACTTTTCTGTAATCTCCCCGGAGAGGTCGTGTGTTGGCTTAGCATTATTTCTAAAGTTGTACATTATTGTATTTGTTTGAAGCCGGTGTGTTCCTGTGTGAGTAGAAACACTGATACGACTTTGTTTTGAAATGCATTTTTTCCAGGGATTAAACTTGACAGCAAATAATTACAAACTCTATTTTCTGTGTTTTAATGCCTTAACTTAAACAATGGTTATGTAAATTGCAAAAATGTTTTTTTTTTAATGTTTATAACACTTTATCTTAACAGTTACAGCAGCACTGGCAACTGTGCTGACCCACGCCCCCCCCCTGCCCCCATCCCCTGCCCTGCCTTTGGACTGAGGGTCATCCATCCATCCCGCCACAGACTCACAGCCAACTCATCATGGTGGATGTGACCAAATGGCCCATTTTCAGCCTGATGGGGCCCCAGGAGCTCTCCAATATACGGAAAGCCTGTGTATTTGGAACGTCTGCTAATGAGGCCATCTACATCAACAATGATGACGAGGTGAGGTTAATCAGGCAGGCAGAGTCGCCGCTCGCCCTTCTCGCTGATGGAAGACGTTAAATTGTGCATTACTAATTGCAAGATGACCCGTTGGTTTGAACATTTTGTCTATTAACCTGCAAAGCATGCAGACTTCACCTTACCGCCATTTCTTTCATATTACAAGTTTTTTTGTTTGTTTTTTTTTTTTTTAAAACTTAGTTTTTGTTCATTTTTCTCATCAACAACAATACAATATGAAAAAATTTCTTTTTTTTTTTCCTTTTTCCAGCTGTATAGTTACATTCGGATATCAAGCCAGCAGAAATAGATTACAAAAGTAAGATACAAATCAAAATGTCCACTCCAAAGAATATACATATACACAATAATACACATGAACAAACAAGTACATAAATAAATGTTCATAAAAGTAGAGGAGAAATTAAAATCACAAATAAAAGTTGTAATCATACAGAAATAAATTCTAATCCACTCAAAGATATCACGTGTCAAAGTACAGGTGCAAAGTCAGCCCCAGGGAAAAAGGTGCATGATGTTGGTCTGCGCCCAAGTGAAGCATCACTCTCTGCATTAGTAAAGCCAGCACAGGTCTCCATCTGGCTGTGAACGTTTCTTCTTAGAGTCTTAATTGGTATGTAATTTGTTCCATTTGGTAAATGTCCCAAACTTTCTGGATCCATATATTGTAAGTGGGAGGGTCTGGTTTCAACCAGCGTATGGTGATGCACTTCTTTTTGTTTGTTTTGATGTTGTTGTTGTTGTTTTTTAACCTTGGAAACAGTTGTTGGATTTTTTGCACTACACTCTACACTCTTTCTATTTCTTTTCTTTTTAGAGTTACAGAGTTGTAGTGAAGTGATGTAGTGGTTAGCAGACACAGCGTTGAAACTCATTGTACTAATACATTTTTTTCAAATTGGAAATGGATCAATTGACTGCCCATAAGTCAAAGAAGTCATCACTTAATAATAATAAATAAAATATACAAGAACACAATGCATCACATTATTGCACCACCCAAACAGCCTTTGGAAACTTTTATTTTAAAGTTGAATCGAGGTGACACCAATGAGTTTTTAAAACAGTTCAGTTTGTATGGAGGGACTCTGTGTCGTCTGCCCGATGGGAAGAGCTCATGTCCAGAGAGGAGGACTTGAGACGGGTCAGACAACAGTCTCTGCACTTGCCTGAGAACAAACTGATCCCAGATCGGCCAAATCGCTTAAATCTTGAATGTAAAGATTTTCCTTGAAACATGATCATGATGGGCAACTATTTGGTTTGCAACTTGTAGCCAGAGCACCTTTAAAACCTTTGTTTGGTTCATTAATATCTAGTGTGAAAGGCTTTATATGTGATGTTTTGATCCAGCAGATGTCGCCCTTGAGCACCAGCATGAAACCAAAACAACTCGCGCTGCATTGTTGTGTTAGCATGCTAATGCTAGTGATCTTTATTATGCTGGTATCTTCACACTGCATGTAAATTTACCTGAAATGAGCGTGATCTAGAAACACAGTTAAGCAGTGAGTACAGTATGTTATTCTTCTTTTCTCTAGTCCCTCAATTAAACAACTTTTATACACGAGGGGAGGAGTCAGTCGGCCGTCCTGGCGATGTAAACAAAGTGAAGATAGGACTCTGAAAACTCTGAAAACATCACAGACAGTGGGACTCGGGTGTTACACCCATTGTAGACAGTCATGACTCACAGAGTTATTTTCAGAGGAGATACTTGATTTCTATATTTAAGTGAAAAAAATCACATATAAAGCCTTTAAAGTTTATTAAAAAAGCGACTAGGGCTCATGTCTTTGCTTGTCCCCTCTCGTTGTCATATGTGCTGTTGTTTTGTATTAAGCTGTGTGTGAAGGGAGCAGCTGTTGGTGGTGCCCAAGGTCTTATCAGCCCTGTTGATGTTTTTGTGTCTGGAATGTGACCTGTTAACTATGATCCGTATAACATGATCCCTCTGTTGTCCTTCCTCTACACGTTCAGGTGTACGTGTTTGGCTTGAACTGCAGTAACTGCCTGGGCACAGGGGACAGCCTGAGCACCATCGTACCCAAGAAGCTGGACTTCCTGAGCGGGAGGAAGGTGGTCAGCCTGAGCTACGGCAGCGGCCCCCACATCCTGCTGGCCACAGAGGGTATCTGCACAAAAAAAAAAAACCTTTAATCCTCCGATTTCACAGTGGGATTACAAAGTGCTGCGCGAGGTCTAATCGTTCTGTGTGTTTCAGACGGAGAGCTATTCGCCTGGGGTCATAATGGTTACAGCCAACTGGGAAACGGGACAACCAACCAAGGAGTCTCTCCAGTGCTGGTGTCGGCCAACCTGCTCAATAAGAAGATCACAGAGGTGTCGTGTGGCTCTCACCACTCGATGGCGCTGACCGACTCAGGAGAAGTGAGTGAGGGGTCATTTTTAGATTACTGTTATAACATCTTTCTTTTCTTCTCTTTGGTTAAAGGCAGTGATTAGTCACCTTCTCACACATGCTTCTTCTCACAAAGCCCCTCACAGCAGGAGATCATCTATGTGACAATTCAAAATACTTTTGATAGGTTTATATGGCAAGGCAAGGCAAGTTTATTTCTATAGCACATTTCAACAACAAGGCCTTTCAAAGTGCTTCACACAAGACATCAAAAAGCATCGTGACAGAGGAAAGAAAAGAAACATTAAAATAGAACATTTAAAAATCACTGAAGTTATTAAATCTGAAAATATGTTCAAAGAAAAATAATTCAAATGAAATTAATTTAAATAAATAAAGTAAAAATATAAAAAGAGTTAAAAGTTAGAGTGCAGAGTTAAAATTAAAAATCGTATTAAAGCTGTTTAATTAAAGGCTGTAAACAGGTGAGCCTTCAACCTGGATTTAAAAGAGCTGAGAGTTTCAGCAGACCTGCAGTTTTCTGGGAGTTTGTTCCAGATATGAGTGGAGGGTGGGCTGGGTAGCCTGTGCAGAAGGAGTTTTGGGTATTGTTATGGTAGTGTGAATTCCTATATACCTTCGTCCACTCTGTTGCAGTGATTTTTATTTCCTATTACCTGCTGCGTTCACACATCAGCGCACCCTGACTCCTTAAACACATTTTACTGGGAGGCTGGCAGGAAAAATTCCAAATAAAGTCTTCAGTTTTCATCCACACATGCAGCCCACCTGAAAAAAAAAAGCTTTTTTGATATTTAACTATCATCTTCAAAAGACTTCTTCCTCCATCATTTGAAGTTTTGTCTCATAATATTTTATGATTCCTGTCACTTTTTTTGTTTTGTTTTTGTTTTAAAGAATATTTTCATTGACTTTTCAACAATAGTACGCAGAAACAATCATAGTCACACACGAAAAAAGGAGAGAGAAGAGGAAAAAAAAAAAAAAAGGAAGAACAGCAGAAGAGAGAAATACATACACAAATAAAAGTGACAGAGGAGCTTTGTTGTGCATATGTTTCACTGGTATACATATCCCACAAACTTAGTATATGGGATACTTCTGTATGCAGCAGAATGCATAAGTAAAGACAAATTGAGTACTGCAATACAAAGAAGAAGGAGGGGGAGAAGGTAGGGGCGAGATGTGGGGGGCGGGGGCTACTGGTCTAGAGTATTAGCATCATATATGTTTGCATAATAGTCTAAGAAGGGGTTGGAAATCTCTTTTGATGATCCCTGAACCGTGCATCTCATTTTTTCCAGTTTAAGAACTGACATAACCTTGGGAATCCATCGTGAGTGAGATGGAGGGGTTGGAGATTTCCAATTGAGGAGGATTGATTCCTGTCACTTTTTTTAATGTTTTACAAAGTCTCAATGGACTTACTGCTTAAGCAAAGGTTAAATAACGTTCAAATACAAACTCTTCACTTTTCCACCGCCTGTTTTTGCCAGGTGTATGCGTGGGGCTACAACAACTGTGGTCAAGTAGGTTCAGGCTCCACGGCCAACCAGCCCACTCCACGCAGAGTGTCGAGCTGCCTGCAGAACAAAGTGGCAATCAGCATCGTCTGCGGTCAGACCTCATCCACAGCAGTGGTGGACAACGGAGAGGTGACAGTTTTTTACATTTGTTATTTAAAACACAGTGGGATTCATCCTGGTTTCTCTGCAGAGCTCATGTGGACCTCATGTCTCTGCAGGTGTACGGCTGGGGCTACAACGGGAACGGACAACTTGGACTTGGAAACAACGGAAACCAGCTCACTCCCTGTCGCCTCGCTGCTCTGCAGGGTTTATGTGTGCAACAGGTTGGAGAAAATACACTCACTAAATGTTTGGATGATCCTTTAAAACCTACCTTTCTCTGGAACGTCCATATTAGGAGTTATTTTAAGATACTTGTAAAATTGATTGATCATGACAGGGTGGTGAAAGATTCTATGGAAGTCAAACCAAGCCAATTGTTCTGGTACAAAGACCTTAAAATATGAAATCACATTTTTCTGACTTAGCCTTTCCATAAGACACCATCGAAAGCAGCACACAAAACAGTGCTGACAGAAAGAAAACGACGTGTCGATGTTTAGAAAATTGTGTGTAACAGGATGACTGAATCTCTCGGGAAAATGAAGATTGAGTAAACATGAACTCCAGGTCTTCAAAATAAGGAGTAAATCATCTTGTTTTAAAACTGAAGCAGGCCTCACTTTGTTTATTTAAAACATTTTCTGTCGCAGTCCGCGCATTCTTCAAAGTTTTGGTAGAAACTGTTTTTCAAAATGAGCCTCCTCCTTCCTGTTTTTAAGATACTGATATTTAAGAAGTAACAGAACTTTAAGGAATGTTTTGTCATTTGTAAGATAAAAAACAAATTCCAGAACATATTCAATTCAGTGTAAGAAACGAACAAAGTCCTTCAGTTTGAGATGTACTCAGATTTATTTTGGTTTATAAATGGTACAATTTGTCACATATTTGGATAACTCTGTCCACAAACAGAAGATCTACACTCATCTTCATGTGAATGGAGATGGAGTGGACAGTTCTTCATTGGTTTTATTTATTGTAACTTGTCATTGCTTTTTTTGCTAAAAGATTTTTTGGCTTACCGGTACATTGAAGATTTTATTTTCCTGCTCATCAGATCGTCTCGGGTTACGCTCACTCTCTTGCTCTAACTGACGAGGGATTGCTTTACGCCTGGGGTGCCAACACATACGGACAACTGGGCACGGGAAACAAGAGCAACCAGCTGAGTCCAATCCAGATCATGGCGGAGAAAGAGAGGTGAGCGAGAGTGATGATCAGATGTGTTCTCTCACACACACACACACACACACCGCTCACACACGTCTCCTCTGCCTCCTCTTGACAGGATCGTGGAGATCGCCGCCTGTCACTCCACGCACACGTCGGCTGCTAAGACCCAGAGTGGGCAGGTGTACATGTGGGGCCAGTGCAGGGGCCAGTCCATCGTGCTGCCCCACCTCACACACTTTACCTGCACCGACGATGTCTTTGCATGCTTCGCCACGCCCTCGGTCATGTGGAGGCTTCTTTCCATGGGTAAGACGAGGTACAATGACGCTGTGATGATGAACGGGCTTCACCAGCTGTTCCACTGTGTTGTAAAGCATGTTCTGTGTGCCAAGACTCAGATGTCAGATTTTCCCTGAAGGCACCACCAAGCAAGAAGTTTCCAAAAATGCTGTATGCGTGTTAAAGAGGTTACATAGGGGGGGTGCAGATGGCTTAGCAGTTAGATTGCGTCCCATTGTAAGTAGGCTATAGTGTTCCAAGCGGGCGGCCCGGGTTCAAGTCCGACCTGCAGCTGCTGTCGTTCCCCTCTCTCTATCAGAAGCTTCCTACTCTATCCACTGCCCTGTCTTAGAAATGCATTAAAGGCCAAAATAACATCTTTAAAAAAAAAAAGAGGTAAAAAATTGTAAATATAGCTCAGTGAATTCCTGGACTGAGTTGAGGGGGGGGAGGGAGGGAGGCTGGGGGGGGGGAGGGTCTGGCACCCGTAGTTCCAGAGAACGGGGGAGCTATTGAACTTGACTTTGTTTACAAGAGCTCGTTATCTTGAGCAGAGACATTTCTACTTAGTTTTCCTGCAGTGGAAACCGTGAACTGCATTACTAGTCAGTTGCGGGCCGGATTCTTGTGAACATGTTAATATAAAAAAAAAGCTGTTTAAATAGTTAGTAAGTAAAACTCTTATTTCTGTTCAGTTAAAAACTAAAGCTAAACTTTGAATTACATTGTGAAATAGATCATCCTTACCTTTGGATTGAAACAGAAAAGGAATTTCACAAGACCACGTCAAACATAGCCACAGCAAAAATATAAGTTTTTTAAGCCGCACGGCACCAGCAGGACTCTGAAGGCTTCTGATCAGTGTCTACTGGTTGTTCCTCGCACTAGACTTAAAACTTAAGGAGACTAAAGTTGTTGTTCCTAAACTGTCTCCTACTGGAACTGAGGACTGTGCACACTGTGGATGTTTTTAAAGTCTTTATATGTGATGTTTCACATTTTTTTAAATCTAAATCAAGTATATCCTCTGAAAATAACTCTGTGAGTCATGACTGTCTACAATGGGTGTAACACCCGAGTCCCACTGTCTGTCATGTTTTCAGAGTTTTCAGAGTCCTATCTTCACTTTGTTTACATCGCCAGGACGGCCGGCTGACTCCTCCCCTCGTGTATAAAAGTTGTTTAATTGAGGGACTAGAGAAAAGAAGAATAACATACTGTACTCACTGCTTAACTGTGTTTCTAGATCACGCTCATTTCAGGTAAATTTACATGCAGTGTGAAGATACCAGCATAATAAAGATCGCTAGCATTAGCATGCTAACACAACAATGCAGCGCGAGTTGTTTTGGTTTCATGCTGGAGCTCAAGGGCGACATCTACTGGATCAAAAAAATCACATAAAGCCTTTAAGTTATCAAAGTTACACCAATCAGTGTTACAGTTTCTCCATCCTAATTTCCCGCTCTGTGTGTGTGTGTGTGTGTGTGTGTGTGTGTGTGTGTGTGTGTGTGTGCGCGTGTGTGTATGTGTGTGTGTGTGTCCTCCCCTCCAGAGCACGATGACTTCTTGACCGTGGCTCAGTCTCTGAAGAAAGAGTTTGACAACCCGGAGACAGCGGACCTCAAGTTCTGCGTGGACGGCAAATATATCTGCGTCCACAAAGCGATTCTCAAAATCAGGTCAGGGGACTGAAAACACTCGGCCTGTTACTGCTCTGTGGTTCTTACAGAATATTAAAAACTGAAACAATCTGTGGTGCAGGTGTGAACACTTCAGGTCCATGTTCCAGTCTCACTGGAACGAAGACATGAAGGAGGTGATTGAGATCGACCAGTTCTCCTACCCGGTGTACCGCTCCTTCCTGGAGTTCCTTTACACCGACGACGTGGAGCTGCCCCCCGAGGACGCCATCGGTCAGAACCGCAAACACACACGTCACAGCCTGACCTTTTACTGACCTCTGTGCGTGTGCGAGCTGTGAATACTTACAGTGTTGCTGTCTGTGACTGTGTCCCGTCAGGGCTGTTGGATTTAGCCACGTCGTATTGTGAGAACCGCCTGAAACGGCTGTGTCAGCATATTATAAAGAGAGGAATCACCGTGGACAACGCCTTCTCGCTGCTGTCCGCTGCTGTGCGCTATGACGCAGAGGTGCGTACATATTCAACGTCAGTTATTAACTACAGAGCTGAGTGGAGATCACTAGATACACGATAACAGGGACAGAGATCAGTCACATTTTTGCCATGTAATAAATCACATGATATTAGGGTGGGACAAAGTGTTGTACATAATACATCGTCTTTATGACTCAATCAAATCAAAATATCTGGTCAAAAAAAAATCAGCACCTTGAAATTTGACCTCACTACTTCATTATTCCTCACAGTGGCACTTTTAACATTAATGAGGTTAACATGAAGGGAAGTTAATCAGCCACAGCGGGATAGAAGAAGAAGAAGAAGAAGAAGACAGCCCCGATAAGGTCAAACAGCGGTGAAAAGAAGTTCAGAGATAAAGCCTGAGAGGAGGTGAAAACTGACTGATTACAATAAATAAATCCTGCACTTCATCTTTTTAGGAGCATTTTATATTCTTGATCAGATATCAGGATGAATCATTACTTAATTTTCTCCCAACACAGAATCGCTGTTATTGTGATATTATCCTTACTGTGGGACATGTTTAATGTGAGTCACCCTGCTACTCCCCCCCCCCTCCATATGATGTTAATACTGGTCCCTTTATGCTCACTAAAGCAGACAAGATCATCACAAACGAGATTTATTTTCATTTAAACGTCTGTAACCGGTGACCCTGAATATATGTCTGACAAAGTGATTTACAGCATGAAGAACAGAAGCCCTTTTTTATTATTATTAATAATAATAATAATAATAATAATAATACATTTTTATTTATAATGCACTTAACATTTAAAAAAAAATATAAAAAAATCAAGATTTATTTTTGGGCTTTTTGTGCCTTTTATGGAGAGATAGGACAGTGGATAGATAGAGCTGGAAATCAGGGAGAGAGAGAGAGAGAGAGGGGAATGACATGCGGGAAAGGAGTCACTTTGAGGACCACAGCCTCCATACATGGGGCGCGCGCCCTAACCACTGCGCCACCAGCGCCCCATAACGCACTTTACATTTAAATGAAAACATCTCAAAGTTTTACAATTTCTGTCAAAAATTCCCCTTTTAAATGATTCTCTTGAGAGTTTAAAAACAAAGTTAGAAAACACTACTTACACATACAGGACATGATCAGCAAAGAGATAAGATGTACTACTACGTCTGTCCACAGGGGGCGCCACAATCGACACAAATTAATGTCGTTTTCACATTTGAACTTGTCAAAATATGAAAATGTGCTTCACACGAGCAACTACATAAAAACATAAAATAATGAAAGCAGTGTCCTGCTTATGAAAATATAAAGCAGTATGAAAGTGTCATTCTAAAGGAACAGTTTGTCTAATGTATGCTTTCACGTCTGTCATTCAGGACCTGGAAGACTTCTGCTTTAAATTCTGTGTCAACCACCTGACTGAAGTCACACAGACCACGGCTTTCTGGCAGATCGATGGCAACCTGCTCAAAGATTTCATATGTCGAGCCAGCCGCTGTGGAGCCTTCAAAAACTGACTCCAAGCTGATTGGTTAAAAAAGCCTAAGAGATAAAAACGCTGCACTGA